TCGAAACCACTCGATGAAAGGAATTTCCAGCTGAATGACGAGATCAGTGTGTGCTAGTGTGGCTTTCAACTTGGTTGCATCCCACAAATCGTATCCTTGCCTTCGCGACTCTTGCGACGAATTCGATGGTTTTTCAGAAATTCTCCAAACTACTCGATGAGGCGAATTTCCAGCTGAATGACGATATCAGAGTGTGCCGGTGTCGCGTTCAACTAGGTTGCTTCCAGAAATCAAGCGATGGACTTCGCGACTCCTGCGACGAATTCGATGGTTTCTCTGATTCTCTCGATTCCATTGGATGAAGCGGATCTCCAGCTGAATGACGAGATCAGAGTGTGCTAGTGTCGCTTTCTGCTCCTTTCCTCGTTGGAATGAATAGGTGGATTTTGGGAAATTTTGGGAAATTCTAATTCTAATTCTAATTTTGGGAAATTCTCCCATCCGAAGAATGATGTAAATTTCCATCTTACTGACGATATCTGAAAGTGCCCGTTTAGCTTAACACTAGGTTGTTTCCAAAAATCCAACGCTGGACTTCGCGACTCCTGCGACGAATTCGATTGTTTCTCTGAATCTCTCGATTCCATTGGATAAAGCGGATCTTCAGCTGAATGACGAGATCAGAGTGTGGTAGTGTCGCTTTCAACTTGTTTGCATCCCAGAAATCGTATCCTTGCCTTCGCGACTCTTGCGACGATTTCGATGTTTTTTCAGAAATTCTCCAAACTACTCGATAAGGCGAATTTCCAACTGAATGACGAGATCAGAGTGTGGTAGTGTCGCTTTCAACTTGTTTGCATCCCACAAGTCGTATCCTTGCCTTCGCGACTCTTGCGACGATTTCGATGGTTTTTTTTAGAAATTCTCCAAACTACTCGATAAGGCGAATTTCCAGCTGAGTGACGACATGAGAGTGTGATCGTGTCGCTTTCAACTAGGTTGCTTCCAAAAATCAAACTCTGGATTTCGCGACTCCTGCGACGAATTCGATGGTTTCTCTGAAATGCTCGAAACCACTCGATGAGGGGAATTTCCACCTGAATGACGATAGAGTGTGCCAATGTCGCTTTCAACTTGTTTGCATCCTACAAATCGTATCCTTTCCTTCGCGTCTCTTGCGACGAAGTCTATGGTTTTTCAGAAATTCTCGAAACCACTCGATGAGGCGAATTTCTAGCTTAATGACAATATCAGAGTGTACTCGTGTCGCTTTCCACTATGTTGCTTCCAAAAATCAAACGCTGGACTTCGCGACTCTTGCTACAAATTCGATGGTTATTCTGAAATTCTTGAAACTACCTGATAAAGCGGTTTTTCATCTGAATGACGATGTCAGAGTGTGAGATTCGCAATATTTTAATTAAATTTCTTCCCTGAATGATCTCCTTAGTTGTTACCAATTTCCATAGATTTCAAGGTTTTCATTGTGTCCACGCGATTTCTAGCACGAGAAGCACTGGATGACGTTACGCTATGCGACGCCTAATGCCCCTTCCTCTCCCCTGTGACTACTTCATGAGAACAATCTGGGCAATGTCAAATTCCAAAGAAACTACAACCAATGTGAAGCTCTTCTTTGGGGAATATAAGGAGATTTATAGCTTTCCTGCAAAGATTTCCAGTGATATTTTTCCCCATACTAACTTTTAACAATTCTTTGGGCTCCTTTGTTCAAGCAAAAAAATTTTGGAGAAACCCCCTCAAGAAAAGGATGATCCCCAGTATACCATACCTCAAACGTATTATTTTTCCTTTGTGAGACGTACCTAACATACAACGTACTCGTCAAGGGTGTCAGAGCCTTAAAACACGCGGAGTCTGGTGATCTTCTTCTGGGCTCTTTCCTCGCACCAAGGTCACTTCGGTCTGACACAGGCAGGGAAACAACGAGATACATACAGGCATCGATATTCTGAACGTTCGGTTATTCGAGCGGCAAAATACATGGAACATCGGTGCAGTCATTGACCTGCCGTTCCACCCTTAACTTCAGACACCAATTACTTCACTTCCGGTGCAGATGGACACCACTTCGAGATTAGATGTTATCCCCAAAATACCACCAGTGAAGCTTCATTAGTTCTCAAAATACAGTAATATGTCTCTAGTATGATCCACACAATCGGTTGCCATACAACTGCAGACTGATAGAATGGAAAAAACTGCATGGAAATCTTAGCAAGTAGCAAACTCAAGAAAGGCATAACTATTAGAGATCGACCGATATATCGGTTGCCGATATAAATCGGCAACCGACCGGTATTCACATCGGCTCTTTCATGCATTCCGATTTTGGCCGATATCAATAACACAGTTCCGTATAATCTTCCAGTGCAAGAAAATATTACTAGGACTAGCTCTTCCGCTTCTAAATTGAAACCTTGGCGTATTAGTGTTCTGGCCAATACGGCATCATCGAGAGGAGAGGCGTCTTTCGCTCTGCTTCCGTTCTTATTCTCGTACATAGAAGTTAGGCGTATTCACGGTTACGGAATAATTCAACGGCTAAAACGATAGACCTTCGCCTTAAGGGTTAGGTTTCACAGATGATTGTCCGAAAGTACGAGGGCTGTTCATTTAATTCGCAGACACGGGGAGGGGGACACATGCCGTTTCCTGACCCTGTCCAAGCATTAAGCTCTCGTATATAATTTTTGGCTTGCTGCCTTACGTTACGTTCAATTTAACCAGGGTCTAAAACGTAGGCTAAAACGTTGCGTGAGCGTAGGCCTAAACTTGTCCTAAAGACCCTCCCCTGTTCAACCACGAGAGAACCATTCTCTTCCGCGACGCAGACATCGATACCAAGTCAGTCTCAGCCGTCGAGAAAAAGTGACCAAGTACCCTTTCTAAAATTTTTCCTGTCGCTTACCCAATTCGTTAAGTAACCAGTTCCAGAGTGTCTCAGACACATTTCTGTTCTTGTCAAATAAGTGAACGGGAAAAAATTGGACTGGAGGGGGGGACGAGTTGGAATGGTGATCTCCCTACACCAAAATTAGTGGAGATTTTTTCGAGTGGATAAAGTTTCTAAGAAACTGTTCTTTGTCATGTAAATGTTAGCTTGAGGTCATTAGTTGCCAAAGTGAGAAATGAAAGGAAAGAAGGAAGATACGGATATTTAAAAGCAGCCTGCAAGCCAACCAAGTGGAAAGCAAGGCCCCATAGGTGATGTGGGTCATCCAAGTTCTGGACGAAGACTAGGTAGTGGTCATCCTGACGTTGTCAGTCGTGACGTACAAGTCGTCCGTCTTTTTCACCGTGGGGAGAGTAGGGTCGTGTATAAAAACTAACAAGTTCTTCCTCAGTAAGATAGAATTCATGACCTTTGGTTGAGAACAATGGATAAAGAAGCTAATTCTTGAATCACAACCAAGGTATGCTCAAGAATTCCTCTTAGAAGATTTCATGCTGGTATGCGTACATCTTACAGGAGTATTTCATGAGATATTCCATGAAAGGGAGATCAGGAAAATGCTGAAAAGTTACTCTTCATCCGGGAAAATTTGAAGTAGATGAAGCGGTGCTGATGAATCTTTAATATGGTTTTATGCTGAAATATCGGCCAATATCGGAATAGGCAAAATCGGTAAAATCCAGTATCGGTCGATCTCTACTAAATATCCAAACCTATCCTTTACTTATCTGCTCCAGAATAGTGTGGAAAGGAGCGTATTTCTGTCAGTACTCTACTGTAAGAGGGTAGGGGTGGGATCCGCTTCCAGTACATCCAGTACTTTATACTCCACCCTTTCCCCCATTGTCCGTTGCATTTGTATGCAAAACGAAGCAAGGCGGCGAAAAAAGGACAGGAGAAAAAATTTTCGGATGAGCTGATTCTGTCTCGAGGAGAAAGTCGAAACAAGAATAGACCTTACAAAAGAAAAAGAAAAATGATGGAGATCTATTATACGAGGAAAAGGGGGGAGGGGGAATTAGAGTGACACGGCTAGAATGAGACGAAACTGTCATCTCCATTTCCCTTTCTTTGGATGAATCAAAATATTTTCAATGACAGGGTTGCCAATGATGTCACTCTCTGTCAACCTTGCCTTCATTCTTTTCTTTTCAGCGAAGAATGGAGCTGCTGCTGGCGATCGCCTGTCATCTCCTCGTCCTGGGATGGACAAACGCTGATGCAAGGGGAGGAGGAGAGATCCTAGGAGGGCTCCAATCAAATGAGGTCCCATGTCCCGAATATTCCCCCAGCCGCATTAGCATTCCTTGCCTCTGTTCCTCGGATACGTCCGCTCCTCAGGGCATTCACGTCAACTGTGACTACAAGGTCGCTTAATTTTCCCCGATCGAGGTCCTTCCTAGTCTTTCTGTTTCCTTTTTATCTAGATTTCTGATCCGTGAATGGAATTATAGGTGTTCCTAGGAGACTTCCCACTTCTGCCCTATCGATACCGAATCACGGGTTTCAGTCAGAGGCATGTGGGTTACCAGGACCTGAGCGCCCAGCTTTTCACGGCATCTGATCTTCCATTGAAAAAAGTGGATTTTTCCCACAATTCCCTTCGACGCCTCACCGATCGTCTCTTCGACGGCGTAGAAGATACTTTGGAGGAGATTCGACTCAGTCACAACCTTTTGGGGGATCAGCTCAATCCCATCTTTTCCACCAACGAATTCTCCAACCTCAAGAGCCTTAAAGTCTTGGATCTGGGCTTCAACCAGATCAAGGATATCGAGGAGGGGATTCTTGCTGGATCTGCTACTCTTGAGGTAGATGATCCTTGACATCTTGCTTCGTCTTCGCATCAAGGTTGAACAAAATCCAACTGGAGGCTTACTATGTGCCTTGTGATTCAAATCAACAGGAGTTCCACTTGGAGGGGAATGATCTGCGGAAAATCCCAAGCAAGGCCTTCCAAGGACCAGATGCTTTGCACAACCTGTTTCTTCAGGAAAATCATCTTGGTGAAGATCTACTTTAAATTATCGATTTGAGGATTGTAGAAATTTCAGATTTGTTTTATTTCGGTATCTTCTTCATATCAGATCTGATACCACAGGAAGCCTTCAAACATCAGCCACACTTGCAGGTCCTCAACCTCAGCTCCAACACAATTGGCCTCATCCAGCCTCAAGCTTTCTTGTAAGTTCTCCAAGAAAAAGTAATAGATATGGCATCTAATGGCATATTCTAATGGCATCTGAGATGCTATTGGCAGGGGTCTAGAAGAATTGAGGGAGCTCTGGCTAAGCGAAAACCATCTGCAGAAGATTCCAGGAGGGGCTTTCTCTGGGTTAAAAAACCTCCAATACCTTGACCTATCAAACAACTTTCTTGGAGAACTCCCCACCGATGCCTTGGCTGATGTAGGGAACTTGCGCCATCTCATTCTTCACTCCAATCGCATCCTTGTGAGCTTCAGACCCATCTTTGCATATATCACATGTAAGAGCCAGGTAATGGACATCACAGGAATCACTGATTTCCTTTCAAAAGGTGCTGGATTCAAGTCAGATGACATCACTCAGCCCACGACTCCAGCACTTGGATCTGACACGAAATCAGATTGAGGAGCTCCCAAACAAGGTCTTTTCACGGTTTGAAAGTCTCCAGACTCTTTTGCTTGGTGTCAATGCCATTCGCAAGGTAAGAAAGAAGGACTATGTTCTTTTCATAGAAAGCTGATGCATTTCATCAATCAGGCTCTGATATCATCCACATGTATATCCTGCAGCTAGAGGAGGAATCCTTTCGAGGGCTTAAATCCCTTTCAAAATTGGACCTAAGTGACAACAATATCTTGACCTTCCCTACCTCGGCATTGAAGACAATGCCAAACCTCAGGAACCTCAACCTGGACTACAATCGGATTACAGCACTCTCTTTGGATGCCCTTGAACCTGTGAATGGACTTTATTCTTTGTCTCTTGCCTACAACCTCCTCCGAGAGATTCCCAGGGGGATATTTGCACGCTTTTCCCATCTCAGGGAATTGGATCTCCATGGAAATCAGCTGAAGGTACATTAGGAATGTAAATTCATTTTTAAAAAAATTATGGAAAAATTCAGGGAGGCTTGTTACAAGCTTATTTTCATACATTCCTAGGAGGTGACCCAGGAGCTTCTGACTGGTCTGGAGAAGACACTGGTCAAACTCCGACTGGATGGAAACCGCCTGGATGTCATGAACAAGATTTCCATCAGGGTTCTCCGGAATTTAAACTTGGCTCGCAACAATATCACTGACATCCCTGAAGAGATCTTCACAACTCTCCCAAGTCTTAAATACCTGAACCTGAGTGGAAATCGTGTGGAACGACTTCATTCCCTCTCATTCCTGAATCTGTCAGACTTGGAGGTCTTGGATTTGAGTCAAAACCTACTGCGTGACCTCGAACCAGGAGTTTTCCGAAGCCCGAAACTCATGGCTTTGGATCTTCATGGAAACCTACTGAAAGAAATAACAACAGGTATCTTCTCTAATCACTCAGATCTTCAATTCCTAGACCTGGGACACAATGACATTTACAGCATGAAGCCAGCATCCTTTGCAAACCTAACCAAACTCATGGTTCTCAAGTTGGATCACAACAACCTGGCCTCCTTTAAGGAAGAGACCTTTGCTGACCAAACGGCATTGGAGGAGATTGACCTTAGCCACAACCAAATCACATATATTCTTTCAGATTCGTTTCTGAAACATCCCAAGGTGAAGCTTATACAACTTGATCACAATCGGCTCAACGCATTCCCAGGAGAAATCATACGCAACATCCCAAACTTGGAAATCCTGGACCTTAGCCATAATTCCCTTTCAACAGTTGATGATCTGGACTTTGCAGGTCTATCCAATCTTCGAACTCTTCATCTGAATCACAATGAAATTGAGACTGTCGGAGAGACAGCATTTCAGAACTCCTCTCAAATCCAGCAACTCAATCTTGGACACAACAAGATCCGGGAGCTCCCTGAGAACACATTTGTTGGGATGGGTCGACTTCTCTTGAATCTGGAGCACAACTCCCTAAGTGAACTTCACCCTCGACTACTGGATAGAACCAAACTCTTCAAGCTGCAGCAGGTCAATCTTGCCAAAAATGCCTTTCAAAAAATCCCTTTGCAAGCCTTGCAGAAGCAGTACTTCTACTTAGATGATGTGGATATCTCCCACAATCAGATCTCTGACATTCCATCCAATGCTAATATCATGGTGAACATCAAGAAACTGGACCTATCATACAATCCACTGACCAAGGAATCCATTGAACATGTGCTGAATGAGCCAAAGACAGTTCGAGACTTGAACATGGCAGGAACAGGTGTGAAAAATGTTCCAGTCCTTGAGACCCCATTCCTGAGAAAGTTAAACCTCTCAGACAATGAAATCGCTCTCTTGATTGATGGGTTGTTTCAGCGACCTACCTTGTTGCAATCTCTTGATGTGTCACACAACAAGATCCCAAATCTCAGCTTTGGGCTTGCTAGTGTGTGGCCAAAGCTGGTTGACTTACGGGAAGTGATTGTGTCTCACAATCCCATCTCTTATATAATCAAGGGTGATTTTGCCTACCTCAACAATTTGGATTCTCTTTATCTGGATAACTTACCTGAGTGCACCAAGATTGAGAAAGATGCATTTCTGGGTCTGAGGAAGGTGAAAAGTTTATCCTTACATGACTACCCCAAGATTGGATACCTTGACACAAAGGGTATTCTCAGGAATTTCCGTGCTCCAGAAGAAGTTCAAGTTGAAGTGAAAAACTCTGTTGTGAATGATGATCTTCATACAGCATTCAATCCCAGACTGAGTAAGCTTGTCCTGGTTGGGCGACAGATTCGTAGTCTTTCTACAGGAGCTTTTGCTGGGATAACAAGTCCTGAGATTGACATTTCCATCACCAACACATCATTGAAGACAATCCCATCAGCAGCATTCTTCCCAGTGCCCACATCTTCAAAGATTCAATTTGACATTGGAGGGAACGAGATGACAAGTCTTAGCCCTCAACTCCTCAGTACTTTAGAGGACAGGCAACGTTCCATCACCCTCAAAGGTTTGAACAAGAATCCCATCTTCTGTGATTGCAATGCTCGACCACTGCAACGATGGCTACTCAGCAAGGAAGCTCAAGGAGGATTGGGGAAAGAACTGCGTCGTGTGGAATGTGCTGGTCCATCTTCTCTTGCAGGCAAACTTCTGGTATCATTACCAGAGGATGAACTGAGTTGTGATGGGAGAACAACAACCACAACCACTGAGGTCATCTTCACAACTTCAAGGACCACTACATCTTCTGAACCTGACATAATTTGGTCTGTTCCACCAACAGAAGCTCCTTCCAAGGCAGAGAAAGAAAGCAAGAGCAAAGAGAAAGGGGCCAAGATGAACAATATGGATGCCTTAATCATTGGAATTGTTGGAGGTGTGGTTGCATTCATTGCAATCCTTATTATCATCATCTGCATTGTTCGATTACGGACAACAGAGACTCAATATCAAGGTGGACCTTTAGTTGGTCCTCTGGCACTGAGAGCTCAAGGAAAATGTACATGCCTTAAACCACCCATCACGTATCCATTCTACCCAACACTTGCAGCTCTCCCTCCAGCTTTACCACCACCCCCTGGAAGTATGGGAGGAACACTACCAAAGATGTTGCCTGGACCTCAGGTGAATGGTGCCCAGAGCATTTATGGAACCCTTATTCGCAATGGGTATTACCATAATCCCCCATACTATGTGACATTCCCTCCTGAAAGTGAGGGGGACCACAGATAGTGTCTTTCCCCTTCCCCCTTTTCTTTGATTCAGATGATGAGCAGTGTTCAACAGTGATTGCTCAAAGGTTTCTGTGATGCAGCCGGACCTGTGAAGCCATGACAGCCCATTGCAAAGATGAGAACTCAAAAGGAGAACATGAACTTCTGACACTGGCTGTGAATGAGCTTGTCACTGCTTATTGATCTCATGAACTCTCTAAATAGATTGACTGATTCAGAGCTAGTGACAAAAGATATGTTACAAATAAATCCCCTGCACAGTCTCATACAGGAGGCTTTCTTTTGAGACCATGAATGCCCTAAGCCTTCTTTGTGTCAAACAACTTTCCTTTATATTCTCAAGGCTACATTACATCAAACTCTTTGGTATAATTGGTGATTTGGAATCAACATTGGTGCAACATTATGGTTCTCATCATCTGCATGAAACATTTGATGCAGCAAACTGTCAAGACAATGAACTAACCATTCTTGAAGAGAAGCAGAGGTCATCCAGAAATTGGAGTGGGAAAAGGCTTTCACTGCTAGGACTGCCTCCATTCACCTTCTGAGTAATTTAGAGTGAGGAAAACATTGGTGGGAAACACATTAAAGGGAAACTACATATCCTGGCTGCAACAGAATAAGCTCACACTTTGAAGCAGAAGAGCATCTTCCACATTGCTCAGGATGATTCCTTGCTTGAGGGGGACATGAGAATAGGTGGAGCAACCATAGGCAATAAGCCTGGAGTCCTCACATACATGTGCACACATGATCCCCAGCAGCAAACCAACCTCACGCACCTGGATTCACAGTTGAAAGTTTTTCTTCTATACTGGTACACCTTCCCCTCAGAGGACAGCAGGATGCTTATAGTAGGCTAACACAGAAAAGCAGACTCACAGTACGAGGCTTTCCAAGCCCCTTTGCAGACAAGCAGGAGGCATTCATTGATGGTCCTATATCAACCAAGATCACAGTAGAACCATCGATGTGTGGAATGTTGTACAGGGTTGCCCATTTCACTGCTTTATCTAGTGCTTGCCTATATCTTTCCAATAGTTTTGCATGTTCTTCTGTTGCCAATGAAAGACTGCAAAAATAATGCACACAAATTTTATGGGACTCTTCTTTAAGACTGGAAAAGAAAACCAGAGGACTCACTACTTCTTCTGCTTCCTTTCCTCTTTGATACGAGCCCAAGCTGGTATCTTCTTCCTCCTTTCTTGTTGCTCTTGAATGCCACTGCTTTTTGCTTCCTTCACATTCTTTTCCAATTCGTCCAATACTTCATAGGCTGTGAAGAACCTGCAATCCACACATCATGGCATGAAGTGGGGCTTATGAATATTCATGAATAGAGGAAAAGGAACTAGACCCAGAGCTTGCTGGCTGACCTGAATGCAGGGAGCCGGGAACGGGTCACAGCTTTCATGCTGGAAAGGGTGAAGAGGACTTTCTGGTGATGGTTTTTGCTGATACCTGCAAGCAGGAGGTTCCGAATGTTCCTCAGCATAGCAACAAATGGGAGCTTCTTTGCATCTGGAAATGAAAAACATGAAACTTTCAGAAAATAAATCACATTCAAGTCTTCCTTCAGGCAACCTATAGTGCCTTCAGTGTTGCATTCATTGACTATAGGAATAATAATTTTCCATCAGCAAAAAAACAGTAAAAATGCAAGTCTTAACATTCTTTGAATAACAATTCCTTCTCCAGTTACTTCAATTTCTCAGGAAATAAAGAATGAGCTTTGAGTACCAATGAGGGCTTCCCATATTGAGGCTTTATTCCCTTTGAGTGAGACCTGAGTCTCCCATGTTTCAGGGACAGACAACTTCATCCTCTTCCCACTCATTTGCTCATCAAAATGCCCTGGTAAACCTGACTGCATGAATCTCTTCACACTTTCTGGGTACCTATACATGATATTGAAGAAAATGATAGGAGAATTCTCAACAGAAGACAGGACTACTACAGACAGAAGACAGGAATACTACTAATGCAGAAACCTTTTCCCAAGAAGGCTCATGACAAGCTCTGGAGGCTGGGAGATGTGAAGGCATCGGACAAGGCGCTTCAAATTGAAACGCCTCTTCACCAACATTTCTTTCTTGCTTCTCTTCTGTTTCTCCTGACTTCTTGCTCCTGTTTCTTCATCATCTTCAGAGTCTTCATCAACCTCCTCCTCTTCATCAGAGGGTGAGAAGAGATCACCAATGTAGAGTTCCTCTTGGTCTTCCTCATCATGTGATTTGGTTAAGTTTCCAGCATTTAATTTCCGTGTTGTCTTCTTGGCTGTGTAGCGCCCCTTGTACTTTGCCAATTGATAGGCATCAAATTCAGAAAATTTTGAGACAAGGCACTTCCTCAATGCAGCAGGCAGAAAGCTGATCTCACATTGCTCATGGAAGACCTACAGGGATGTGTACAAAGGGTCACAGAGAAAAGTACTACCAAGAGCCAAAAATACTTTACAGTGTTGCTACTATAATATGATGAAAGCTCATGGCCTAACCAACTATGGGTACTAACCAAGAACAGCTTTCAGTGACCATAACCTTTACAGGAATGGGCTTCCCATATAATGATTGACAATGTATGTGCACAAGCTTTTCACAGGATGATCTCAATTGTTGAAAAGATGTTATCTACTAAAGCCATGTGATATACTCAAGTCATACCAAAGAGAGTTTTATCATATAGAGTTCAATTAACAGCATGAAAGCAAGTAGTAAGTGCTAGTTGAATTTTAAAAAGTTTATTTTAATTGTGAGTGACTTGGTTAATTAAAAGAACTTTAATCAACCCATAGTACTATCTCTGAATCTGGTAGAGTATATATAAAATTCTAAAGGGAGAGAGGAAATTTAATCTGAGCTCTAGAATACTGTTATTTATGATGAACATGTTGCAGACCACCCACTCAAGGTAAGACCCATTAGAGGAGAAATTTTATAGCTATTTATAGTCTATTAATTACTCAACTTTTGTTTAAATTAAATCTTTTATTGACCAACCAACAATATTCCTGATTTCCAGCTCTATAAAACAGAAAAAAAAATGCACAAGATTCTTCAGGAGGGGATGACATGGTATAAATAAATTTTATAACTGCAATGAAAATTTAGGAGAAAAGGATGAAAATAAATGTATTTCTTATTGGATAGAGTAACTAGTGTTTTTCAGTTGATTTCATGATTTCCTCCATTCAGAGGCAAAATATGAAAACATACCATGTAAAACTGGGGCACTTGGATCCAATCTGCAGGAGTGCGAATGCAAGAAGCAAAGTATTTCTTCAAATATGGTCGACATTCTGGCATGAATGCTGAGTATGACAGAAGGAAATTGGCTGTTGATCGAAGAAAAAGTTCTTCTCTTGCATATAGTGCAGCCTGAAAATGAAAAAAATGCTTAACCCTCATTCCAGTACTGATCTTCAATGACTTTTCAACTGTATTACCACCAGGCACTTATATCTGATCAAAAATAAGCCTACCTTCAAGATGAATTCAGGATCATACTTCAAAATCATCCCAGAGTACATAGACAAAACTTTGCGAGTTGGATCATCAACCTCCATCAAATTAGGAGACTCAATCAGAGAACAGCATACAGCATTTAGCAGCTCCCACTGCAAGAAAGACATTGACAAGAATATAAGAATTAGAGAAAAATTTGATACCAGTACAGGCCGAATATGCCATAGAAGCTCTGAGCATTCTATATCGCCAAAGCTGGAGTTTACCTTCATAAGGATCTCTCTCGTCCTCCTTTGGCTTTCTGATACATCTCTTGGTAAAGGGACTTCCTCTCTGGTGACTTCATGAGATCCAAGGTCCAACTGCAATCTGAGCTCTTGATACATGTCCTCATCATTATATGAAAATTTCTTTGAAGACATGTTCTTCTCTGATTCATATTCAAGAGGAACTGATAGGTCTTCATCCACAACAACATCCTTCAATGGAACCCCCTCATACTTGACTACAATTTTCTGGGTGTCTTCACTTCCTGCTAGAAATCTGTTTGTTTTGGGTATAACTGACGAGAGTGTGTTGAAATCATATGACACCTTAAAGGTAGATTTTGCAAGCTTGTTTTCTAATGACAAAGGCTTCACTTGAACTGATTTAAAGTGAAGCTCATTTTGCCATTTGTCTTTCAATTCCTGCAGGATATGATTCTGAAGGCCTGCAGGAAGGCCAAGGTCACCATGTCCAAACATCTTTCCTGGCATGAGTGAAATGAATGAATTCATATATTCCTGATCTGCAAAAATGAGAAAACAAATCTCAAGTAACTAATGAATATATGTATTCAGAGAAATGGGGGAAAAACCTGTTTCTATGAACAAATTTGGAAAATAAAATATCAAAACAACTCATGTCAGCTCTGTCAGATGGGATACAGTCAATGGCAATAGATAAGCTACTCTCAAGTTAACCCCTTCCCTTTATTCCATAAAACAATTGCTGAAAATGGGATTCAAATTGTGGCTGAACTCTTTCTCCTTAACCCTTTAGTTAGCTAGTTCAGTATCCCACAGAGAAGGTCCACAACTGCAGTTCCAGGACCCCAAAATGTAATGGAGTAGCAAAGTTTTCTTCATAGATCATCTTTCTACTTTCAATTCCATTTTTGAGTCATTACATAATGTCTTCCCACTACTAGCTTGCGGAAGCAACTAGTGGATGGCTCATATATTTTCCTATTGATATGATCACTTCTTTCCTTTTGCCACTCAATTTTGCTGAATAATACACAAAATTAAGCCATATTTAAGGCCTAAATATTTTCCAAAATATGTTAAACACTTTTGATATTCACCACCACATGTTCCTAGGCTAGCATTTGGCCACTATCATCAAAACTTTAAACTTTCTTAGTGCATTTTGTAGAATCATTCTCTTTGAGTATAAATCACCATGTGATGAAAGCATAGCAGTATATAAAAAAGTACCAGGTACAAACTTTGGGAAGAGATAACATACAGATGAAATTAACCTGTCCTCTAGAATGCCACAGAGATCACAGACCATGGCCATCACTTAATCCTTATCTTCCTACAGATAAAGACAAGGGGAAGCCACACTCAACAGCATTGGAGCAACTTAAGCCTAGTCAGTGATTTCAGCAAAGTTCCTTTAGTGAATAGGATAGCAAAAACAGGGTTGTGCATGAAGTGGAGCAGGTAGTATGAGTTTTAATGATAGCTTCAGGATTAGATTGATATTAAGACAAAACCAAACCAACTTCTCTAGTGAGTGCAGCAGATGGTCAAGAAAGCAAAACCTGACATATTCATAGGGAAAAATAAATAAATTTTTTGAATGCTGAATAATTACCATACAAAAGCTAAAACTTATCACTCTGTAAAACTTCCAATTTTTCAAAATACAAGCAAATATAGTCAAGGTCTACTGGGACATTCATTCAAAATCTTCTTATTTCAATTTTCTGATTTTGAAATGTAATAAAGTTTTAATGGCAATGGAGCAACCCCATAACCAGGGCTCAAATTAAAAGTCTGCCAGCTTGTCACAGAGTAATGGCATCTTTGCTTTAGGCAATCCACTAAGCACAATGAAGTATATTTAAGGCATTTCTCATGTGGATATTCATTCTTGAATTGGAGAAAAAGAAAGTACCAAATACTTGAATTTGTGAAAATAACCTCACCCCAAAATGCTGCAGAGACCAAGAACAAGAGGCTTTAACCCCTTAGTGGAGAATTTCTGACAGAACTCAATCACCAGAGTGAAGACTTTCATGAGAGTTATAATTAGTGTTTGCATACAGAAATGTACTTATTTTTTTTTTACCTTTGCATTTAACTCAAATTTGAAAAATCGCATGACATATAAACACATGAAACCCATCTAGGGAGCATTTCACCATGACAGATATATGCATCACACCCACTTAAGAAGTTAAAAGAAGCAATACTAACCTAATAGGCACAACTCTGGCTGGCTACATCCTATGAAACTGCCAGCCCAGATTCTGGATTAACAAGACATGGTGCAATGACATTAACTTCTGGCAAATGCTTGAGTAGCATTTTCACTCTACCCCACCACTTATACTGAATGCTGTTGATAGCTGCCCATCACTGGGCTGAAGGAGGCATGCAACCTGGGGATGCTTTCCTGCATAAGAAACTTCATATGCAAAACTGGGATGAAATGCAATGTTATTCACACCTGCAAAGCATAGTGAAACATCAGTGGCCTCAATGGTTGTGGGGAAGGAGAGGGAGGTACAAAAGGACCAAAGAACAGCTGGGAATCAAACTCAGGCCTCCTGATCATCAGTCAGGTGTGCTACCATGACACCATCTGAACTCAGGACATTCAGATGTACCTCTTAATGCCATCCGTGCTGCTGCCATTAAACTAGACTCCTGCCACAGGCCTACCAGCAGCTATATGTAGGAGTTTGCCTCAGCCCATTCTTGGTAGGCTTACTAATGGTGGCAGGTTACTCATATGGGTCTCCTGGTACATGCCAGAGTGGCTCTCATCAGTTTACTACTAACACTAGGTCTAGGCCTAGCTACTTTATTATCTTCTTTATTCAATGATATAATGCCACTGATTTGCTTTGCCATTCAATCCCAATGTAAATAGAAAAAAAATTCAAATCAGATACATGAAAGGGACTCTGAGTAAAAAGAAAAAAAAACCTCAAGGGTGGAAATCATCAATGTATGAGGAGATAGATATAACAATAGCCAACGATAAAATGAGAAGCAAGGAAATGCAGGAAGTACACAAGTTCCCTGCCTTTCTTTGCTGAAATCTATGCAAACAGTCTTGGTCATCTCACCTATCGACGAGAGAATTTCATCAATCAAAAATGATAAAACTTTTACAGAAGTTGTATATTGCAAGCTAAATGTACTCGATAACTGATCCTGTTATGGCAGTGGGCAGTAATTGAGCTAGATCAAGGAGTGGGGGAGGTCAACAGTGTCGGTCACTTAGGCTACTGGAGGAAAGGAATACTAGTCAAGTACCGTCCAGAACAAGAGCTATTCTGGTAGAAAGGTCATTCCGGGGATAAACTTACAACCGCCGGGCAGGGATCCCGGTCGAGGACCTCGGGCCTGTCCATCTACTCCAAGCCATCAGAGGAGTTATATTGCTATGTTATGATTTTCCACCAGCTTCGCTTTCGTGTGCTGGTCTAAGGCGTAGGCCTACGTCAAGTCGGTGTGCTGCAGTCATGGCAACCTCATGTTATCGGCTTGACACCACAAGAAACACGTGGGATACTCATGGAGGGAAGCGACTCGCGCACATGCGCACCAACGTTTCCATGGAGGATCTGCATACAGAACTGCCTTCAAATTGTAATTCGTCTTGAAATCGATGGAAGCACTCCTATGGGGGAGGGGGGCTCCCCCATAGGAGTGCTTCCATCGATTTCAAATACTGATCCCTTTCTGTGAAGGGATTTTGGATCGTCTGATGAAGTGGATCCTCTGGAAGCAGTATTATCTCCATTCTCCACTACCCAGGGTGGTTAAATTCAATCCCAAAACAGTGTCTGCATGTACGCATAAATAAATGAATTCGAGAATTTATTGGACAATAGCCCATAGGATGGACCAAGGACGAAATGAGACAATCGAAAGATGCGGAATAAAGAAAGACAGGAACTGTTCCAATTCCAAAGGGAGATGAAGGATATAACCATTAGTTTGCTTCACCGGAGCAATATTGAAAAAACTCGTAAAAATCATTAAGTGCATCATCTCGAGAGGCTGTGAAGGCAGCTGCTGAACTCAGAATTATGAGTTAGCACGAAGTGTGATCGGAAGGATGTTATAGACGTGAACGTTGTGGAGGAACGTAAGCGACTTGTGGAACGTACTTGTTATGGTTGACGCGGGTGTAGGGTAGGGTAGCGAGGTCCGAGGCGCGTCTTTTTTGCTAGCGGTTCCGCTAGCTCTGCTGAGACCTCCAGCATCCGATGACGTCATTTTGAGGCTTAGCTGCTAAGCGTTCTCGTAGTTCGTTATGTTCCGCTGGCAGCTGCTTGCCCAATAGTGACGTCATACAATGACGTGGTCGTGCCTAACCAGGGGCGTGTCTTTTTTCTCAGCGGCTCAGCTAGCTCTGCTGAGGCATCCAGCATCCCATGACGTCATGTTAGGGCACTCGACGAGTCGCGAGGGTATCAAGCGATACAAGGCGACGGCCGACGAACGCCAAGAGTGACGTCATTCGATGACGTGGTCGTGCCTAGCCAACGCGTCTTTTTCGCTAGCAGCTGCTAGCGGCTGTAGAAAAAGACACGCCCCATGAATGTCGAGAGCGAAGAGAGTCGGTCTGGGGACCTATGAAGCACTCCAAACTTGATTGGGATATGTCCCTTCCAACAGGGTGTCACAGTCAGTCACATGATATAGCGTGAATATATTTATCTTATCAAGAAATAGACTAAGGTAAGACTCGGGGAATACGAAGATCCATTCAAAAAGATGATGCCACAGGTAGCTAGGTCTTTAATGTTGCCAAAGGTTCTATATTTTTTGCTGGATGGACACGACCTAAGTGTGACTTAAGTGAGCAGAGAACGTCATCGATAAAGGATCCCAAAACCCGAGGGGCAGGAACCTCAGCGACTACGAGTGAATTTCGACGTGATCTGGCTTCACCGGAATGAGGCAACACGCGAAAACTAACCCATGGGACTTGACAACTGTTACCTATTGGATAGATGATGCATCGACAAAGGTCGCACTGCCACTGTATTGCAGGGGACGCTTCGCGATCGCGTCATTTCGGGTAGGGCTGCCAAAGACCTTATGGGGTTGGCGTTCCTCGGTCTCCGAGATCGCCTCGTCTCGTTGCTCGGACCTTCCTTTATGGGGTTACACCTTCTTTGAGTCCAGATTACATTCTAGCCGGTCTCTGGCCTCGATCCAGCTCATCAATCTCGAAGGATGTCATCATCCTCGCCTTGAGGGTGTAAATAGAAGAGGTGGAAGCCTTCATTGCATTATTTTCGACTCAACAGGCACCTCAGACATGATCCATCTTCGTAATCCGACTCTTCTCGCTTTCCTTGCTTCTCGGTAAAAAAAGAAAAATAGATACGTTCACGCTCGATGGTCTCATCGTTTTTCATACGTTCTGTCTCAGACCTTCCCGAGAGCTAAGATTGAGAGCATTCTTGGAGTATTCTTGATACCGTGATGATTTAGTTCGGAAGGGAGTCGGTTATGATTTACAGGGGGCCTGAAGTGCGGCTTGATGAGCGCTTCCATGCGGCCCACGAGGAAATTCTGAGAAAAAGATCAAAGGTTGGAGACGAGAGAAATGAGAAAAGGAACAGGCTTCATTTCTAAGTATTTACTGCCTAGGAGTGGGCTTCACCCCCCTCCCCTTCCCTTTAGACGCATCCCTGCTGCAGCAAATTGAGGAAAAGATCGGTGAGGAACCCAAGTATTCAGAGAACTAGCTAAAGACATTCCTTGTAGAGATCACGGGAAACTATTGCCCAAGAGGTTCACCAAGCATCACATCATCCATCTTAACGGATTCAACCCTTTCTCTTTCTACAGACGTCGAGGTCGGGGGAGTTCTTTGGCCGTTCTGCTTCGTCTAGGAATTCCGTTTCGTCCGTAGAAGGCAGCGGAACGATGAGGGTTTCGAAAAAGGGACCTCGTCGTCGTCGGGAGACACTACTCGATCCACGTCCGAGGCGTTCTCGGGCTCCTGCCAGAAAAGGATCGCGTCTTTCAACGAAATAACGCCCTGAAAATACCTACATAGCGATGACGGTTCGTGACGATTTCGCTCGATTCCAAGCCCTGGTCACCCCACGGTTCTGACGAACGACGACGCGGATTTCTTTGGAAAAATGGGAACGGCCGGGGAATTCTCCCGACCTCAACGTGTGCAAGAAACGTGAGTTCGACGTCGAAACGCCGAATGGGACGCTCCGTGGGCCTCCCGGGCAACAACTTTCTTCCAACTGCTGTTTGGAACGTCTTCAAACGATTCTCCATAACAGTCACTTTCACGCCGACCCGTAAAAAAATCTCACCGGTGATTAACCATTGCTTCAACGGTGAATCACCGGTGAGATGTGTTTCAACGTTGAATTAACGTTGATTCACCGGTGAGGCACAGAAATTTACCGGTGAATCAAAAGCGGCTGTTATATTTTATAAAGAAAAGAAACTGTCTTCTGACAGCTTGGGGGGAAAAAGGGGGGGAAAGAGGGGACATCCCCGATATACTGTATATCTGATGCTTATGGGTTCGTTCCCCATCGCACCTTCGTGCTTGTCTTGGTTATCCTTGTGAGACGCGTTGGTACTAAGCTATTCCCCATATCGCTCGGTAGCCGTCATGACTACAAGTCAGTCTCTCCCAGTGTCAGTGGCTCGGCTTAAAAATGTTGTGTTGTGATGTGAATCGGTTTCTTTGACGTTAGGCTAAGCTTATCTCAGGGTCTGTGAACTTTCACCGATTCAGCCCGGGATAGACTATAATAAAAATGCATTAAAAATTCTGAAACTAATAATCAGCTCGACAAGTCGTGAGCTAATATAGCTTAGATGTACATTTTTTGCCGCCTATTTCACGATGTGATTCTCTTGTGCAAGTCATGTTTTCATTCTTAGATCACAACACCCATATGGGTGTTGTGGTTTAAATATCTTAAACATAACCTCAGTACTACTATTACACCTATTGTATAAGGTGAGAATTACATCAGAGTATTTCCATGATTGATATCGCTTCATCTCCATTTCGTTGTAGAAATCACTTTTCACAGTACATTTCCATAAATTCTGCTGTAAATAAATTATTTACGTAAATCACCGATAACTCAATGGTGAATAGTGTTGAACCCCTGTTGAATAGATGCTGAAAACTGGTGAATCAACGGTGAATCACCATTGATTCAATTTCAACACGTTGAACTTTTTACTGTACAGGGATCTCTTCGTGAATTAGTTGCAGTTCTGCCAATATCGTCACTAGTCATGGTCCAGGCCGGTGATGGGCACACGCAAAATTCATATTTATTCTGTAAATGCAGTAATAACTCTATTTAAAAGTGAAGTCTAGTTTGCGTGAATGGCCATAGTACCATTGTGGTGTGGAAACCCCCCCCCCCTTCAAATCATATAGTCCAATAAAGACTTGATGTAGGTCGGGAAAGCTTCTTCTGTGACGTAAACACCTGACATCAACAAACTCACTACATTTCTGTCGGGAGAGGGGGGAAATATACGGGATCCTTCCCCCATGAGGGGATATACGATTACCGGGGAGGATATAAGACACCGGATAAAGCCTAAAGGCCCTGTTACACTAGGCGAGTACTTGCTAGGGCCACTCGCTTAGTGTAACACCCCACTCGCTACCACTCGCTACGAATTTGAAAGATTTCAAACTTCAGGCGAGTACTCGCTAGCAAGAACCAATCAAAAGGCAACCTCGAGGTAAGATGGAGCTCCACT